AAGAGGAGAAGGGGACGACCGAGGATGAGATGGCTGGACAGTGTCTGCGAAGCAACCAACATAAATTTAACACAACTCCGGGAGGCAGTGGAAGATAGGAGGGCCTGTCGTGCTCTGGTCCATGGGGTCACGAAGAGTCGGACACGACTAAATGACTAAACAACAACGACTGATACAGATGGTAACATTAATTCTGTCAAGGGTATGTGTTTAGTAAAGGGAGCTCTTATAATCCCTGTTCTTTGAACACTGTAGAGGAGAATGTCAGAAGTGAATAAAAATGAAAATGTAAACTGGCATATGTTCTGGTTTTGGACTTATTAAGGTGTACTGTAATGGATAGCGACATGGTGCCACTGCGGGTTAAACTACAAAGCCTCTGGGCTGCAAGGTTGAAAGATCAGCAGTTTGAATCCACACGACGGAATGAGCTCCTGTCACTTGTCCCAGCTCCTGCCAACCTAGCAGTTTGAAAGCATTAAAAATGTGAGGAAATAAATAGGTACCACTACGGTGAGAAGGTAACGGTGTTCCGTTTCTAGTCACGTTGGCCACGTGGCCACGTGAACTGTCTACGGACAAACGCTGGCTCCATGGCTTGGAAATGGGGATGAGCACCACCCCGTAGAGTCAGACACAACTGGACAATTGTCAAGGGGAACCTTTACCTTACCTTACTGTAATGGATAGGAAGGCATCGCTGAACTGCTTGCCTCGTTTTCACTGAAATAAATCTTGTTTGTGCACATCTTTTTAGGAGCTTGCCTGGAAGATGCCCAGGGGCACATACAAGTAGAGATAGCAGATAATGGTTGTTGAAGCTGATTTATTTGTATGTTATAGTTCCCACAGCAGAAGGAGAGTTGTGAGAGCAAAACAAGGTCAGGATCCTGTTAATCCAAATCATTTGCACAGTGTGATTAGTTTAAAATGTTTGACACTCACAGAAGGAAGTCTCTAATGCCATGTTGTTCAAATAGAAGCCTCATTTGTTCCAACAGGTTGTCTCTGCTTGCACAACAGCATACTGAGAGATCAAGTAGGATTACCCCTGCGTACTGTTCTGCTGGTCTTCAGTGGGAGTGCAGTTTTTTGGAGGGGGGCTAAAATTAAATAATGGCGTTGGGGAAAACAAAGCCCTAGAGAAATATTTGCTGTTAAAACCCTGTTTCCCCGAAAATAATGCAGGGTTTTATATTAATTTTTGCTCCAAAAACGCATTAGGGCTTATTTTCAGGGGATGCTTTTTTTTTTTTCATGTACAATCTATGTTTTTTCAAATAGAGTCATATCATTGTATTAGTGAAGGCTTTCAGGGCCGGGATCTAATGGTTGTTGTGGGTTTTTCAGGCCCTTTGGCCGTGTTCTGAAGGTTGTTCTTCCTAATGTTTCGCCAGTCTCTAAGAGCCCGAAAAACCCACAACAACCAAGAGTCATATCATCTTCTGGTTGCTGCACAGTGGTGGAGGGCGGGCTTTCACTTAACTGAGCTTATTTTTGGGTAGGGCTTATATTACAAGCATCCTGAAAAATCATACTAGGGCTTATTTTCAGGTTGTTATTTTCAGAGAAACGGTAGAGATTGTAGATATAATTTATCCTATCATACAAAAGTGTTTCAGTCTAAAAAGCATTGAGTGCTTGCTTTATTAACAGATTTCGCCTCGCTTAACGAGGGCGCGAAAACGCTGCGCGTGGCCATTTTGGGCCATTTCTGATTGTCGGGCTTCGTTTTGCGAAGATCGGTAAGCGAAACGCTTACCGGTCTTCGCAAAGCGAATTGAGCCCTATTCAAAAGACGTTAAGCGATCGCATTAGCGATCCGAAAAAACGGATCGCTATGCGATTTCGTCGTTATGCTGTGCGCTCGTTAAGCGAGGCACCACTGTATCTTTATCCTAACTATGGTGTGGATTTAGCACGGGTTGGAGACTTTTGGCAGGATTTTAGGAGGTCTCTTTAATGTGATGTTGTAAATAGTTATTGTAAGGTTGACGGTACAATAATATGTGTGCACCATAGTGGCTAAAATGGAATATGGACCAAGGTTATATAGTTAAAATCTTAGTTGGCATGAACTTATTAATTGATCTTAAGCAACCTAATAATTTTCATCCTCACATTCCAGTTATGCCACCCCCAGCAATATGGAGATAATGTTGAACTGTAAAATGATGAGGTAGGATATGCTAAGATTAGGTGCTATCCACACGCTTTAAAGTGCATTTACATAGTCATTTTATATTGAGGTATAGCATCTAGGGTGTAAACATCTATCATACTGGGCACCTGCAATCCTTTTAGCTCAGTATTTACCCTGAATAATAAAACCATTTTAAGGCTTCAAGTATAGGTCTTTTGCAGTTCTACTATTAGTGATTAAAGGATGACTGTAGTTACCTCTGGAGGATTGCATAAGAAGAGCAAGTAATTTACTTCAGGTTCTCTCCATAATGGCTGGTGCTTCCAACATGGGTTCCATTTTGCTGGTGTGGTGTGTCAGCCTTCTCAGAATAATCTCAAAAGCAACTGAGCCCCCAAAGCTTCCTTATCTTTAGAAAAAAAGAGAAGATGGTGAAAGGCAGAGAGTCCTGTTGTAAGTGGACCATGCTGCTGAAGTTTGAAAGTAACTTTTGTATCTTCTGACAGCCTTGCCATGAAGTCATAATGTGATGACATAATTGAAATTATCACAATGTTGAGGTAAATAAAAGTGACCTTGTAACTTTCCTGTAGGATTTACACTCTTAATAAGAGACGGGAGGGAGCAAAATAGTTAAAAACCATGCCGTTTATCTTCGATTGGGGATTGGTCAGTTACTATGCAGGTTGCAGAAGAAAGTAAGTAATTGAAATGAAGAGCACCAACTCAGAAACATACAGTGTTGCATAGCATTGCTAGTTGACTTCATGTGCTGGATTGGTGCCATGCCTTTCACTCAAGGAGTGGAATTCTGTGGTCACCGATGTTGTAAGGGATAAGACACCACCCTCACTAAGTCTGCAGATAACTTGCTACACCCCTGGAAGTATTGTGTAATGAACCATCCTAATAGGGGAATTTGAAATAGTCTATTTTCTTGTCAGGATCTTTTTGCTTGTTAGATGCAGTGAACATGCTCATCCTGTACCCAGTTACAATGGCCAGCATGTGTATATGGTGTCTGTGTGAGTGATGCGTCCATGAAGGCAATGATAATGTTGCTTGTTCTGGTACTGTGGAATGTCTCCCAAGACAAACTTTTCCTGAGGGAAGTTCATGAGAGAAGACTTGGGCCTTGGATCTGTCTTCATGTTGACTTGGGAGAGATTCAGGAAATTAATTGCAACACACACTGAAGCTAGGAAGCTAAATTAGCGGCATGCTCCAGCAGCTACATCAGACCTGTGTGTCTTTGAAGCACAAACATCTTAGGGACTTTAGCAGCTGGGCAAGATCTGTGAAAAGCACACATTTTTACTTGTTAGTAGTTAACTGGCCTTGCTACCCCTCCCCCTTTTTAGTTTCTCACTCTTTTCTCCTCTTTTGTACTTCAAGTCTAGTCAAAGACAGCATAATCCTACTACAGCCTAATTTGTTACCTGTCACAAAGAAGTGTTTGTGCTATTTAGGAACAGAAAGCACATTGGGTTTCTTTTTTTAAAAAAAATGCTAATGACAGGATGTAAACACTGAGTGCCTCTTTTGCATTGGAAAGGATGTCCCCTAGAGACGCTTCTGTGGTCTCAGTAGTATGCCGTTATTCAGAATACCTCTTTCTTCCATGTAAATACCTCTCTTTTTCTTTAAAAGCATGTGTTGGGATTTTGGGGTTGGTGGATTTTTTTTTTATTTTTTGCATGTTCTAAGAGGCACTGGAGGTGCCAAACTATACTTTGCACATCTGGACCTGTCTACCTGCACCATTGATATTTAAAGCAGCAATGGTTTTCCCTGGTCTGATACCCCCAGTGTGTTGGGAAATGTAGTCTACCTCATCCAGGTCTAGCAGGACCACTCGATAATGCTGGCGGACACGACTAAACGACTGAACACACATTCCATATATTCCACTTTTATACTGCCTGAGTTTTGCAAGGCACTATTCTGAACAGTTAACAGATAATGCTGGCTTAGGTAAATTATATAATTTATTCCATATATTCCACTTTTATACCGCCTGATTTTTGCAAGGCATTATTCTGAATGGTTAACAGATGATGCAGATACACTCATATAGCAATAAAGATAAATCAAAATAGAAAATAATAAGAACAGAGAAAATCAGTAAAACGGCATAAAACAAACATACCAAGGGACCAGCAATGGTGAGATGGGCAGGACAAATTTGGCAGGTTTGTAGTTAGAGGATGCCATTAAAAGTTTCTTTAAAAACACTTTTCTAAGCAACCTCTTGAAGGTAGAGAGGGAGAGGGTCAGGTGTAGCTCCACTGAAAGCCCATTTCAAAGGGTTGGTGCCACCATCAAGGTGTGATTTCTTGTGGATATTTTTCTGGGCTCCCTCAGCATAGCAACCCATAAGAGTGTGGCCTGCAAAGATCTGGTGGCATGGATCACTGTTTTTGGGGAAAGGCACTTTGACAAGTTATAAGGGTCTAAACTGTGAATGCTTTATAGCTAAGAACCAAAACCTTGAACCTGGCCTGGAACCTCACATGCAGCCGATGCAGATGAGCCAGGATTGGGGAAAGGCAGTCGAATTTGCTCATGCTCACACTTGATGTCAGGCTGACGGCTGCATTCTAAACCTGCTGAAGTTTCCAGGCCAGTCTCAAGGGAAGTCCCATGTAGAGAGCATTACAGAAGTCCATCTTGGAGATAACCAGCACATTCACCAACATTGTCAAAGCCTCTTCATCCAGGTAGAGGGGAGCTGAGTAATCAGTTTCAGCTGGCTGAAGGCCAGCCTGGACATAGCTGCAGTCTGGGAATCCCATCTGAGAGTCAGGTCCAGGATCATGCACAAGTTTTGAACTCCATCCCTAGTGAAAGGATTACCCCATCCAACTTGGGGAGAGAGTCCCCCAGCCTCTCGGGGTCTCCCAAAAGAAGGATTGTCATCTTGTGTTGATTAAGTTTCAGTCTGTTAGCCTTGGTCTGTTCCAGAGCTAAGACCAGGCGGCCCTCAAGCACTCGGACAGCGTCCACCGCAGAAGATGTGAGGGAGAGAGAGAGAGTTACCTGTCACCAGCATACTGATGGCAATGCACTACAAACCTCTAGATGACCTCTCAGTAGCTTTACATAGATATTAAACAGCATTGGGGAGATTGACAACTCCTGGGGCACCCCACAGTTGAGGGTCCAAGGGGCCGACAGTTCCTTCCCAACGTCCACTTTCTGAACACGACTGTTGAGGAAGGATCACAGCCAGCTGAGCACTAACCGCCGCCCCCCCCCGATCCCGACACCCAGTATCTTGTCCAGGAGAATACAGTAGTTGATGGTATCAAAAGCTGCTGAGAGATCCAGGAGTATCAACAGGATCATTCCTCCCCCATTGGTGTCCCTTGAAAGGTCATCTTGCAGTGTAACCAAAACTGCCTTGGTACCATGCTGTGGCCTGAACTTGGACTGGAATAGGTCAAGGCAGTTCTCCCCCAGGTGTGCCTGAATCTCCTCTGCCACTATCCACTTGATAACCTTGCTCATTAGGGGATATTGACAACAGGCCTAAAATTATTTAGGTCATCCATAGCCAAATTCAACTGCTTCAAAACAGCCCATATAATTTTTTCTTTCATACGAGGCTGGGGGGAGGTAACTTTCCCACAGGGAAATGTTTACAGTTTTAACAACCCAGTCCACAGTAACCCTGTTGTCTGCTTTTAAAAGCCATGATGGGCAAGGGTCAAGCACCTACTCCAGTCAAACTCTGAAACACAACCAAATGGGCAAAGGGAGATGATGCGCCAGGGATCTCATCCCAATCAACCAAGCTGTCCATGGAGTCTAAATCCTGTTGGATCGTCAAAATTTTAGATTTGTAAAAGTCTTCAGATTGATCACAGGTGAAGTCGCCAAGATAAGGCCTTTGCTGACCAAAATTAGTGAGGTTGCAAACCACCCAGAAAAGCTCCTCTTGCTGTTCCGCAGTCTCACTAATCACTCAATATTGAATGCATTTTTGCTGATTGGCAAATCTGGTCAGGATCTTTACTGCAACCGAAGTATATTCCAACAGGTCTCTCATCCACCTCCTCCCTAGCCATCTCCTTGATAACTTCTTAGCTTGAAGCTCCTCTGTAAACCAGCTGGGAGGGTATATCTCTGAATCTGAGAGGTCATTTGGGAGGGATTATGTCATCTGGCTGGGCCACGTCACTATACCACCTACTGACCTGGCCTTTGACAGCATCACCAGCCAGGTCTCACCCACCCAACAAGGCCTCCCAAAACCTATCTGGATCAGGAAGTCTCTGGGTGCAAACCATGTTCACTAGTCCATTCTCGAAACACTTTGCTTTGAATTATTGACAGTTCATAATAGGTTTACTCCCAGACTATTTATTCAATGTTTAAAGAGAAAGAGGCAGGTTTTATTGGAAAAGGACATCCTCTAAGGGTTTTATTCTTGAATAGGAGCCTGCTTCCATTGCTTGGTATGTGGGAGACTATTTTCTTTGTTGGATAGTGCCAGTCTTCTGCAAGGGCTTTTGATGTGGTAAAGCTGAAAAATATTCTCTGAAATTGTTTTTATTTGATCTTCAGGACATAGCAGAGTTGAAATTTTGCCAATATAGCACATTCAGGGAGGGGGAGCTAATGTATGAATGATGGATAGAAATTCTCAGGACATTACCACATTTAAAAAAAAACAATGTATAGTAATCAAGAGTTTTTAACATGGAGGAAAAGGATGCAACAGTTGCATTGTGGTGTTTGCTTTAACAGGAAGCATTTGGCTAGTAGTACATTTATGGACAATTTGAACTACTTCAGTTGGAGAATTTGATTTTTAAGACTTCTGTTAATGGCCAAACTCTCAATACCTTGAATATTCATTACTTCATGTTTTTGTTTATAAATGGAACAGTTGTACATGATTTCCTAGTCAATACAAGGCTTAAAATGCAAGGTATTGTTTTAGTTGTGCTAGTAAAGATTCAGTAATTATGAATGCATTCAAAATGCTGCTTGAAATTATGAATCCCTGCATTGATCATTTCAATACAGTGGTGTCTCGCTTTACGATTGCCCCGTTTAAAGATGAAACCGCATTACGATGAACTTTTTGCGATCGCTTTTGCGATCACAAAATGATGTTTCTTATGGGGGGATTTCGCTTTGCGATGATCGGTTCCCTGCTTCGGGAACTGATTCTTCGCGAAACGACGATTTTCCAACAGCTGATTGGCAGTTTCAAAATGGCCACCGGGTAAACAAAATGGCCTCCCGCTGTTTTCTGGGACGGATTCCTCGCTGCACAGGCTGCGAAAATGGCTGCCCTATGAAGGATCTTTGGAAAGCATTAAATGGGTTTTAATGCGTTTCAATGGGTTTTTTCTTTTCGCATTACATTTTCGTTCTACAGCGATTTTGCTGGAACAAATTAACATCGTAATGCGAGGCACCATTGTATTTGTTTACTATTAGTTGTCCTTAACATTGTTACAACTTATTTAGCCAGCCAATATTTCTGTTTGCCATTAGTCTTTCCCCAGAGCCTTGTTCAATGCTGGAGAAATGAAAGAAAGGTGTTCTGCATGTCTTGGGCTTTAGAAAGGGCAGCTGACCATGTGTTTGAGTTTCTAATCTCAGTGGTAGAATAAGGTGCCTCACCATGCTGAATTTACAGAAAGTTGCATCTTGGAATGAGATGTACATAGTACGGGACATTATTTCTGACCAGTAGTGCTTTTCCCTGCTGACTGGACTTTTGGAGGCCTGTGCAGAATACAAATTACCTCCTGTTGTAGTATCTCATTCATAAAACTACTGTGTTAGATTAAGCTGAGAGCGACTGGCCATAAGCTATGCATGCTCAATTTGTATTTAAACTTAGGAATCTCTCATTTCTGAATCATGATGTCATTTTCTGTATCTTGTGAGGTGTCATTGCTTCGTGAAGCCTCAAGGAAGCTGAGTGAGTAGTGTCACATCTATGAAGTTGAATGGCCAAGTCCCTTTCCAGAAAAGCGTTCATTTTTCTGGTGGACTTGGGAATCCCAGCATTTCTTGTTTGCTGTGAACTCTGTGATCATGATATGTTGCTAAGAAAGGGCACTGCTGTCATTTCTGCTTCCTTTCATTTTTTAAAAATGTTTTGCAGGAACTGAGCTGCTCAGCTTGCCTTTTCTCTCCCTGTCCCTAGCATTTGTCTTCTTTTCTTGCTTGCTAGTACCACCACTGCTTTGTTCCCATTTTTAAACATTGGGCAGTAGAAGTAGGGTTCTTCTTTTTGTTGCTGAAGCTGGGTGGTAGACATGACTAGCTGGAAATGCTGTTGCCTGCTGGCATGTGTTCCAAAGCAAGCTGCTAGCCTAAGGCTTCAAGCATATGTCATTGTCCTTTAAAGGATTCTTCCCAGAGCAACAATGGCAGGGAAAGAGAGAGAGGTGAGTCGTGGTTGTCTTTTGCAATGCAGAGCCAGTGGCGGCTATAGACTAAGGAGATTTGGGACATTTCAAGTGCTCTGATTGCCAACATACTTTGAAAAGTGGCATTTGATTGTCTAAATTCTTGGCCACTTTCACTCTTGAAATGCATGCAGCACATGTCCCTCTGTTGTTTTGTAGCACATGTTGGAGCATCACCACAGCTGTCCTGCATTTCTGATGGCGAAAGATGGCGAGAGCAGCTATGCTCTAATTCTAGTTAGAAGAATTCAACCAGCCATCACTGGTATCCCATGAAACATATAGCTAGCAATGTTGTTATGCACTGTAAATTGCTTCTGATATATGGTGAACCTAATTTGAAGGAGAGACAGAATCCTAAGGTGTTCTTAAAAATGGCTTTATTGCAATTTAAATGAGTTTGTGCAGTAAGCTCATTTTTGTAACATTCTGAGACTGTTGCCTGTTCTCCACATTTGAGTCCACTAGTTGTTTCCAGTTCATTTTGGCTTTTTTCAAGGTATATGAGGTATTGAAGGAATGGTTCTCCATTTCCAGCTCCAGGTTTCCATGGTTTAGTGGGGTTATGAAATCCTGAGTCTTCAACAATCACTCTTTCCAGTGCACTACTTTGGCTTGCATAACAAGCAATAGCAGTTCATTTTCCAGCCCTTCAAGTGTAGTGTTACATTTAACAAGCCATAAAGTTACTTTTGTTTTGTTTTCTACAGCTAAAAAGAAGAACAAGAAGGGAAAGACCCTGACTCTGACAGATTTTCTGGCAGAGGATGGTGGTAGTGCTCCCACTTATGTTCCAAAACCAGTCAGCTGGGCAGATGAGACCGATGACTTGGAAGGAGATGGTAAGATGGAAATGTCATTTTCCCATTGCATTTTTCCAAATGTTCATGTGAACATTCTCCCAAGTTCTGGTAGATGAGGCTCGCTTTTTTAAAATGTAACATTAGAAGCCTAAATGTAGTTTAAAGCATCAGATCCCATTGTTTTAGACATGTGTTGGTTTGCTCCTTTTAAAAGGTTAATACTAGTTTGATAGTTTTTAAAAGTACAAAGTAAAATGACTTTGCTTCTGTTGAAGAGGTTTTTTTTTTTTGTTCTGGCCAGAAAAGTCCTGTTAGTATTTGAAACTTCCAAGTCCATTCTCTTGATTTTTCTGCTGTCCTTAGTTTTTTTTTTGGGGGGGATAGTAAATTCTAAATTAGAAGTTATTCTTATAAAAGAAAACAGAATGGTAGAGATACCAAGCAATACCTTAGCAATGTGAACCTTCAGCCATGCTAAACAGACAAAACTTGTACCTAAAGTGAAAGGGCAGATGTCATACTCAGCTTTAGAGATGCTTAGAGCATTGCTGTGTCCAGTGTAACTGCAGAGTCTCACCATATTCTCTAGCCACGGGCTAATTGGAAATTGGCACGATACGCATAAGTCTTCCCCCAGATTTGATGGTTGGTATGTGGAAGGATGCTAGACAATGTTTCTTCCTTGGAGGCAATGGCTGATTATTGGAAGACATAACTATAATCCTCCACACTTGTGTTTCCAGTTGTAGCAGGTAGGTAAATAGTATTTTGCCATGTATAAGACTATACTTTTGTCTAAAATCTTTAGACTAAAAATTGAGGGTCGTCTTATACACAGAAGTAAGCTGAGGAGAGAACACAAGTGGAGGGGAAGCAGGGATCAAAGCCCTGCAGGATCACTTTGATCCCTGCTTTCTCCCTTCATCCTAAGCCCCGTGGGGCTTAGCAAAAGGAGGGGGAAAGGATCAATGCAATCCTATGGCTGTATAAAGGGAAAAGAGATCAAAATGATTGTGCAGTGTCAGGATTGCTTTGACCCCTTTTTCCCTTCCTTTTGCTAAGCCCCACGGGGCTTAGCATGAAGGGAGAAAGCAGGGATCAAAGCGATCCTGCAGTGCTTTCTTCCCTTTCCCCCTACACTTGCTAAGCCCCACTTAGATTTCTTAATTTTGGGTTAGAAACGGGGGAGGGGGATCTTATACTTGGGGGCATCTTAGACACAGAAAAATATGGTACTTGGCGGAAGAGAGTTGTTTTCTGAAGTAGAAAGTAGGAGCCTTTGTACCTGCTGTTTGATGAACAGGATTGTAAGCATTGGTAACTCACCAGAATAGTAAACATAATAATTACTACTGTGCCCACAGGGTAGTATCATTTTGCTTGTTCGCCCTATGTCGTTTACTGATATGTAAAACTTCTTTCTTAGTTTCTACCACCTGGCATAGCAATGACGACGATGTGTACCGAGCCCCTCCGATTGACCGTTCCATCCTGCCCACTGCACCGCGGGCAGCTCGGGAGCCCAATATCAACAGAAGCCGTCTCCCAAAATCACCCCCCTACACTGCCTTTCTAGGAAACTTGCCCTATGATGTAACAGAAGAATCTATCAAGGACTTCTTCAGAGGACTGAATGTATGTAATAGACAGCTTAAATTTTCCTTTACATTATATATTTATTATATATTGGTCCCATTGGGGACTAGGTGGACAGCATTCAGGAGAGTCCTGAGGGTCTTGAGCTTCTTCTTCCTCTTTATTGATTGATTGATTGATTGATTGATTGATTGATTGATTGATTGATTGATTGATTGATTGATTGATTGATTGATTGATTGATTGATTGATTGATTGGAGCGGTGTTAGCTTTTCCCAAAGAGCCCTATTCTAGCCCCTTACCAACTACCAGTGAGAGGTGATCAGCAGTTTTCCAGTTGGTTGCAGTCCATTGTCTATAGTTGCTTAACAACTATTTCCCCTAAAAATAAAGAGAGGATACCCAAAGCTAGTGACTGATGTATAGATTATTGGATGATCAACTGAAGCTGTCTAAAAATTAATTCCTAAAACGATTGAAACATTGGACAAAAACACCAAAGATGCTTATATGAGTTAGTTTGCTCACACTTTTCCAACTGCATTTTGAGGATGTATTATTAATGCAAGTCAATCTAATAGGAATTAAATACCATCTGTTAATTAGTTTATACAACATCACAATACAATTTCAGCTGATGTAAGAGCAAAGTAATATTAGTAGTGATGTTGAAGTATCTTTCTCTTAACTGTATTATGAATTTAATTCTACTTTAATGTTTATAAGCTTATTTCCTGTTGTATTCAACTGTGTTGTCAACTGCCTTCTTGAATTTCAGGTTTGGGAGAAAGAGGCCATATCAATAAAATAAGTGAATAAATTAATTAATGAAAGCAAAGTTGCCCACCGATAGCAGATATAAATTAAAAGGATGCAGGTCCAGGATGGCAAATCACAAAGAGATGCATCAGGCATCCTTCTTTGTGGGAAGACAGTCTTGCCTTAGAGGAGCTGTTCTCCGTAGAAGGCTAGCACCTCTCTTGCAGCATATAATTTGGGAAATTGCTGCTCTTATCTCTCTGTATTGTAAAACTGATCACAATTCCCAGCAGACAAATCTCTTGTTTTCAAATGCTGCACAAAGCTCCAGAAGGAAAAGAACCATGTCACATTTCTGGCCTGGAAAAGCAGCTTCCGCACTGTGAAACTTCTGCTTTGGGATGTCTTGAATCAGGAACCTTTGTAATATGGATCATGCTATCCAATAATCAATCAATCAATCTCTCTCTCTCTCTCTCTCTCTCTCTTTATATATATATGGTGGCAGGTGTGCTTCAAACTAGAATTAAATCAGTAAAAAGTCTATCTATCTATCTATCTATCTATCTATCTATCCATATATATATATGGATAGATATATGGATATATCTATCCATATATAACAGTATATATATGTGGTGGCAGGTGTGCTTCAAACTAGAATTAAAAGCCCCACTGAACTTACTGGTACTTAACTTTTGAGTGGACTTGTACAGGAGTGTTCTGTAAAAGTTGCTTTCCTTGATATCTTGATGCCTGTTTATAAGTGAACAATTATGTATATAACAATTAGTGTGAGTGATTTTAAGTATAGAATCAAAAGGAGGTGCATCATTAATATGGAATTAATGTCTCTCTTTGTGACCTGATTTAAGAAGTCATCAGCTATGCCCACTGTTGATTTCTGTTTCTTAGTGACTTATCCATCTCTTATCACTAACCCAGGTCAGTTTTGTATTTTATTTTTCATTTTGCTGTTAGATTCTTTGAGTCCCATTAGGCCAGTTTGCAGTATATCAGAATCCAACTGCTTTGTGAATTATGCTCCTGTTTGTGTCACACAACGGGTATGCATTAATCTTCCTGAGTTCTTCAGGTGAAAACTGATATAAATCTCTTACTAAAAAATGACATGTCATGGGTTTTCTTTTCTGTTATACAGTATGGCTGCTGACTCCTACCATTGTGTCATTTAGGGAAGGTTGTTACTGAAAATCTTTTCCCTTCTGAATTGCAGATAAGTGCTGTTCGTTTACCACGAGAACCTAGTAATCCAGAGAGGTTGAAAGGATTTGGATATGCTGAGTTTGAAGACCTGGACTCCTTGCTCAGTGCTTTGAGCCTCAACGAAGAGGTAGTTTGAAACTTGTCAAGAAATATTGACAATCTCCAGCCCACATGTTGTGACGACCCGACCCCCCAATCTGCTGCATAAAGAATGTTACATGAGGCAAAACTCTGAAAACTTAATTCACATACTAAGTATTGTTACATAGAAGCAGCTTCCTTTTATAAGTATGAGTATATACCCACTGTAGTGAGGGAATTATTTGTTCAAAAACCACCTCTGTAATAGCTGATGTCAGATTTCCAGTGCAGAAAAGACAGAAACTATTCTAACAGTAGCTGAAAGATGAAGGCATCCAATGCAGTTATGCCAATTGTTCAGTTGTAAACCTCTAAACTTTATTAGTTGAGCAGTCATCATCTTGAGTTCTTTCTGTGATCGTGTCACTTTGATCCCATGTGGGGCACCTTTTTGAGCTGTATGTTCCAGTTAAGGCTCAGATTTTGTCATGTGTTTTCTGGCATAAAATCAGGCATGGCGCCTGTGTGATTCTTCTCTGCAGTAAGACAGAAACTATTCTAACAGTAGCTGAAAGATGAAGGCATCCAATGCAGTTATGCCAATTGTTCAGTTGTAAACCTCTAAACTTTATTAGTTGAGCAGTCATCATCTTGAGTTCTTTCTGTGATCATGTCACTTTGATCCCATGTGGGGCACCTCTTTTTGAGCTGTATGTTCCAGTTAAGGCTCAGATTTAGTCATGTGTTTTCTGGCATAAAATCAGGCATGGTGCCTGTGTGATTCTTCTCTGCAGTAATCTAGCATTTCTGTATCACCATCTGGTAATCAGTCTTCTAAGAGGAGGCTGTGGTAAAGGAAAAGAGGTTCATTTCCATAAGGAGTCATTTCACTTAATTAAATACTAAAAGAACAGGGGTTGTCAGAAGTGTGGTGGGCAATTGTGGGTGCACAGATTGTGAACATTAGTAAACCAAGCATAGCACGCAAGGCTGTATGCCAGTACAGTGCCTCGCATAGTGATTGCTCCATTTTATGACGAAATCACTTTGCGATGGACTTTTTGCCATCGCAAGAGCGATCGCTTTGCGACGGCCCCTATGGGGAAAATTCGCTTTGCGATGATCATGGGGAAGCAATCATCGCAAAGCCCCTATTTTTTGGATGATCGCAGGGAAGCA